AATCCTGATTCATAAGCTCTCAGTTGGCTCCTTATCTATCTCCAGCCAGTGCTCCATGCACTCCAACATTGACGTCCACTGTCACAGAGGGTCACAGGCCCTCCTTGTCTCTCTGCCTGACCTTCCCAAACTTTGCACATTTTCATTCCAATACTCCAATCACAGGAGTCTCTGTGATGCCAGTAAGATCACAGACCTGCAGGCATGCACATGCCTCTAACTCCTCTTGTTTACTCCTCTTGTTGTATGTGTTTGCATAGAAGCATTTAAGATGGGTCCCTGATGAAGCCAACTTACTGGCTGGAGTGGCTGGAATTCCTTTGTGGTGCTCTTCAGGTGCTTTTCTGCTGAGCTGTGATCCTTCTCCAGGCTCTGGGTACCTATGGCTGCCGCAGCCATCAAACTGGTAGGAGTGGGACAGATTAAGGTTCCTCTCCTGCAGCAGCTTTAGTTTGAAGCCCCATCCCTCAAGCCTTTGACTGAAGATGCTCTTCTCCTTCTCTGACAGATGGAGCCAATCAGCTCCACCCGGCACAGCTTTGGCAGGTAGGTCTGCTGTCCCTGTCCTTTCTGCAGCCTGAGGGCTGCACTGCAGTCTCTCCCTTCAGCAGCCCTGTCTGTGTGGAGGCATTGGCCACTCACAGGTGCAGATGCCCCACCAGAGCTGCAGCCTTTGCTCTCAGATGAGTGCCCACCATTCTGCCTTGGGAGTCAGGTGGGATGAGAGCCCCTGACCTGTGCAGATGGCTACAGAACAGTGCTTGGTTGCTGGCAGACTTCACGTGTCCACACTTGGCCAGTGGATGTCCCTCCTCTGAGCCATCCTCTCTGCACACCCTGCCGAGCAAATGCCACACCATGACCTGTCTGCCTGCCCTGGCCACGGTGCTCCTGGCCACAGTGCTCACTAGGGCTGCCAGCTTTGGGAAGAGGGCCTGGCCACCATTACTCCTGGCCTTGCACATGCCAGGACAGTAAGCCACTCTCATAAGAGCTGCTGACTCCTGGTGGGTCTCTGCTCCCCTGGGGCTCCCCTGGCTGAGGAACACCCCTGTAAGCCATGTTCTCCTGCTCTGCTCTAGAACACTCCTGCACCAGAGCTGATCACCTCAGTGGATGTCAGGTTTCAGTCCTATCATCAAGCTGCTCGTTTCCCCAAAACACTGGAGCATACCTCCTAAAATACATAATATGTGTAATTGCTCTATATACACCTTTAAAATATTATACCTTATTATCCCCATCAAAACATAATCAGCATGTAAAATCAAACATTATTTTCGGATGAGGTAACTGGTTCTCTTGAGAGCACTACATCTATGTAGCTATTCCCTCTTGCACACAATTAAAATTCAACTATAAAACAGAGAGTATGAGGTATTTAAATAAACAACTTCAATACTGAAAACCTAAAGTTCTTGTTTAGAAACCCAGATGCAGATTTTTGGAAGCTAAATTTTTAGAACATGGCACTATCTTCTACTATTTAGCCTAGTTCACTTCTATAAGTTCATTATGAAATTACTGCTAATTCAAGAAAACACAGTTTATTATGGCACTTAGATCAAATTATACATAAGTAAGCATTAATATTTTCCTTTTCAGTATGTTAAAAATCCTGTCATACCCCTTTAACATGTTGTTTAAGGAATGTTCCTAAAGATCGGAAATTATTTGCTATTACATCACTTTGGAATTAATTACTCCAAATATATCTGTGCAAAGTAGAGGAAATAAGCAATTTATTTTTTTTTTCAAAGCAATAAAATAAGAACTAGTACAAGGGCGCAAATCTAACTGTAGCTCACCTATCCAGAAACAGAATACTGATTTCTGAGCCAGATAGTGAGATCTGACTGAATTTTTTCAATGAGTTTGAAATTTTCAATTACAAATATTAATATTATTTTAATTATTATTACTATTACATAAAGAACAACATACATGAAAATAAATTATTCGTTTACCTGGCTGTACCCCCTACTAAATTAAACTGATACACATTGGCATCGATTCACTTTATACAGACTAAAAATTGACTGCCAAAGTTTAGAATTTAACCTAATAACACTACTAAATCTCTAGGCTGAGCTTTGAAAAGCCAGTTAGGTCACACATCAATCAAACTGTGCTTCAGAGATCACAACTGCTGCAACTCTGTCCTTTGCATTCAAAATGTTCAATCAGCATTTTAGAGGAAGAAAAAGTATTTTCACTTGGATCACAAGAGAGCCATTCTGATTATAGAGATTTCTGGAATGTGTTGGATAAAAGAATATTTTTTATTTAAAAACATTAACTTGTGGTATCTGGAAAAATGTGCATCATAGGCCAAAGTTATGACAGATGATTGCCTGCCTTTAAAAGTGGCCTCTCTGTGTGCCAAGAAGGGTTCCCTCTGAGCCTGGGTGAGACAGAAGGCATCAGCTTTCAGGTTCCCACTTTGAATTAAGCCTAGACTCAAAGACACATCTACTCTGTGGGTTAGATATGTTCCAAATCCAGCTTTGCTGTTCTTCATACCACTGCTGGGTAAGGATACCCAAGCTCTGTAGCTCTCTGGCAATGGTACCTACAAACATTTTCAATCCCAACAGCCCAGATACTTGTGCTCATGAACTGGAAAGCTTAGACCTGAGCTAAGCTTTCAGACTCAGTCCTTCATCAGTGAGAATAGATGCTTTAACCCTGAGGCATATCCAAACCAAATCATCCACAGTTCTCATGAAAGCCCGTCAAGCTGTGAGCAGCCTGAATTTCCAAACCACCAAGCAAGGACTTTTGAGTTTCTGAGATGGGTGTGAGGAATCTGCCCTGAGGTCACAGCCCTTGGGAAACTGGCAAGCTGTGCTAGTTAAATGGTGGTGCTCACAGGAATGACAAACTGTGGCTCCAGGAGGACATGCTCCTTCAAGAGCACCACGTCTCTGCCACACCTTCAAAAAACCGTCATTGCTGATGAACTGAGAGCCCCAGCCTGTGATGAGGTCTAGTCCTTACATGCTGCTTTTTGTAAAGTACAGGTTCTCTTATGCCCTTTCATTGTGTACTATGAAGGCTTGTCCATGGACACCACACATGCTCTTCCCTCCTCAGACAAGGCATGATCCTTCAGACTGGAGCTCATGTTCTCCAGACACAAGGATTAGAGCTCGTGCACAAGGACACACGCACAGCTGCTCACTCCTGGGTGCCTCTGTGCATGAGGAAGGCAGACCAGGGTATAGACACAAACTAATACACCTCAGTTTGGACATACAACATAAACTGGCTTGTTTTGGTGGAAATGAAAAGAATCAGGCTTATCAGTGAGCCCCTTGGCCTTCATGTACCACCTGGAGCAGTTTTCTCATACACAGCTTCAAAGCTCTTGAGTGAATGAACTATGGTGCTGTATTATTAAGGGTGCAACATGTCTACAAGTAGAAGATAATCTAGCACCCCTAATGCTAATAATCAGGGTGTTGATTAACTTCCATTAAAGTCAGTGAGGCTGACAATCATGTATGAAGTATCTAAATATCTGGCTCTGCATAGCAAATAAAAACACTTTGAACTTTATTAAATATACTGCTAAAATACAGGAAGAGTAGTACTTTTTCATTGTGCTCTGGTTAAAATGAAATATAACCAGAAAACAGACACAGAGTTGGAAAGTAACTAGCATTGTCATATTTTTAAACAAATCTGAAAAATAATTCCTATACATGCAACTCATTGATGGTACTTCTTATATCCAAAACAATCATATCTTTAAATACAGCTACCTTAATGAAAGAAAATGCTACTTTAAAATTTAAAGAAACCAGCTATTTTACTGTAAGTATAAAAAATAAATACTCTAAGGAATGGAAGGAAAAAAAAAACATGTTCAATAATTTCATTACGTTCTAAGATGCCAAATCATCTGTGAGTGGTTTCTTTTTAGATGAAAAGGAATCAAAATATAGGACAGATGTTGGACAAACCACATTTGAGGTCTATCACACACTGGAATTTTTCAAATTATTTTGGCTCATCTATTGAATAAGGTGTATTTTGCTTGATTTTGAAAAGGGAAACATCAGGAAATATTTAAAGGCCAATTGCTGCCAATTAACTTTGATCAGCAAAAGTTGCATTTGAATCTTTTAGATTCTTTTGCTGTCTGGAATAACACACTATTCTAAAATCTAGCAAAACAACAACTTGATGATTAATGTGTGTTGGCAGCCCCACCACAAGCTTGCTTAACAGCTGGATTTTAAATAAACAGCTGTCTTCACTATGATGGGAAAGAAATCTGACTGTTTTCATGTTTTTGTGTTATTAAAATGTGATCAGAAATTGCTTTTTTCCCTTTTAAGATGAAACATCCAGGCACTGCAGTGACGGTCTGTTTCAGCAGTCTGGAGAACTTTGGAACACTCTCCCAAGAGTCACCAAACTGTAGGCTGTGTAGGCTGAAAAAGCCCTTGGCAAGGCTCCCGCAGCTCCTGGCTGCAGGCAGAGGCACCCTGGCACAGAACACCCCGTGCCTGCTGCAGGCAGAGCAGCCCCAGGAACAGCCCAAGGACAGCCCATACAACATTAATGATGTCCCTCAGGGCTAAGGTAACACTGGCCCACCGTGGGATGTAGGCAAGAAATCCGTACCCAGCCATCAACTGCTTACAGAAGCTGGAGTTAAATATTTAATGGTCTGTGCAGACTACTGAATTCTTTATGTTTATAGGTTCTTTCAGTGTACCCACTTCTGAAACTTGTCTACTGTCACCATAAGTGCTAAAACCCGTGAGGACAAAATTCTACCATTTTAACTGCAGTAACCTTTGTAAGCCAGTGCAGACGTTTAGTGCAGATATTATTATATATCCTAACGACTAAATGATACAGCTATTTTCTAGGCATTTCTATATTGAAACTCTGCAAATAATTGTCAAACCATCTAACAACACATAAAACCAGACAAATATTAAATATTAGATCATCTCTGTGTGTTTTAAAAAATGAACACTTACTTCTAAATCATTAAAGAATAGATGTGTGTCCGCCAAATTGAAAATCATCTCTTCCATTCGGAGTCCAAGGGACACAGAAGTGGGAGGATCCTAAAAGAAGAAATTAAGCGTACATACCATCAATACTGTGCCTAACATACGTTCCCAAATACAGACTGGAGGAACAGCTTTTCGTAACATACTGCTTGTATTAAATGCAACATCTGCTTTGTCAGTTTCGGTTCAGTTACTGTCTCACTCTGTACTACAACACTTCCCAGTAACCCTCAAAAATATGACTTTAACTCAACTGACTCCCTGACTTTGCTGAGGGACTTCTGTGGTCACCCTCGTGCATCCCCAGCACTGGCTCTTTGCTCTCTGTGCAGAAAGGGCAAATCCATTTCACCTAAAACCTCTCCAGATTCTACAACTATTCACAAGTTTTATGATCAACCATATGGTATGATGGTACAATTGTTACTTAAAATAAACTCTCACTGGTCACAAATGACAGGATTCAGTCCTGGGACTACCTAGTGACTTTAAAGCAAAGAACTATTGATGTTTTATTTGCAAATGGCAATTACATTTAAAACCACTCCTTGACTGTCCATGAACCCAGGCTTTAATTATGTTTCCGGTTTGGCCCACCCATGCAGAGTGAACAAAACTATTGTTTGTTATTAATACATAACACACTTCAAGTTCTCTACAGAAATTACCATAACAACTTATTCCTTACTGAGCTAATAAACTCAAAAAGCATGTTCAGCATTGTGGTTACCAAATGCATTACAGATGTTTGTCTTGTTTTGATTTTTTTTTGGTGCTTTATATATTTTCAATCTGAAAAATCGAAAAGAGAGCCTAATACATACATTTGATATAGAGTTTCTCATTTATAATGCCAAGTCTATCCAAGTGCACAGGAGCATGAGTTCATAAGAATATGTTAAGCTATCCCATAACAGCCTCTATTAATAATGTTAGTTTGTTAGGAATTATATTTTAAATAGAACTGAAGAAGTGACAACCCATATTTTACTTAAAATAAGCTAATATTCTAAACTTGATGACAAGTCACAGTTAAAAAGCAAGAGATGTAGTCCTTAGTTTCTTTTTTCACCTCTCAATCAAATTAATAGGTTCTTCAACATGATCTCTGAACTTGTAAACATTTTTCTGTAACTACTGGTTAAAAAGGCAAAATGTGTCAGTAGCAAAGAGCTGGAAAAGGATGATGATTTGGCAGCCTGTTTGCCTTCTGGAAATGCCAAAACCCAAGAACTGCTATTCAGCAAAATAATTTTTGAAATTTCAAAGCAAAGCTACATTGAGCAGACAAAACATCTATTCTTGAACTCACAACCTTTAAGAGGTTTTTAAAATAAAAAAAAAAAATAGCCCCTATAAGCGGGGAAAAAAGTTGCATCATGTTATTTTGATGGACTTTGCCCTTAAAAATAAGTCTTCTATTGAAACTGGAGCAGCCAAAAAAAATTGGCTTCTTAATTCAAATGGAAAGACTTTAAAATATGAACAAAAATATTCTGTCTCTCTGTTTTAATATTGCTCTATTTCTAGACCTACGCCTTCCTCTGCTGTACTTTTGTAGGCATGTGAGGTGGAAAGCAGGTGGTATTTTCTCTCTAGCTAGACCTGAGGCTTCTTCTCTCTTTGGCATTTCTGCTTATCTTTGTGCCCAGTTAGTGCCTCATCATCCTACACAGTTCATCGGGCTTCTTTTTTCTTAGACAGATTTAAATTCAGATTTCTGTTGTGCCTGAGCAGTAACAGAAGCCACCTCACAGAAGCCTCTGCTTTAGTTATTAAAGTTATTTAGTTATTAAAGCAATTAGATGGGCTAAAGGTCTAAGATGCAAACGAGGATCACTAGCTGCATCTTGATTATCAACTACTAATGCAACAAGGTAGAAATAATTCCCTTCTGAATTCCATCCCTAAATAGGAACATCATTTTAAAAAGCAGAATAAATGGGTAACAGAGCATGATATTGGTTATGAACCCATTTGACTAATTTTAAATGACTGGCTGCAAATATATAGTTTAAATTTCAGTGTACACGACTTGGTATTTTTATTATTGAACATTTTTATCACATTTTTGAGTCTGTAAAAAGAAGTTTTTGTAAAGCTTTCTAACCATTTTACTCCAAGGTATTTTTACGTGACAGAAATAAAACAGAATGGTTTTCTCCAAAGTAATACTAAAATAATGTCATTAATTAGGTTAATTTAATTAGGCCGAAAAAACGTAAGAAACTCATTGGAACCTACTGAAAGTGTCAGATTAAATCACACAAAAGCTAAAGGGAGAAACAAAATGGATTGCTTCTCAAAGAAAGCTAAACTCCTGGATTAAATAGAATCTTTTTGTATAAGAAGTTCCACTTAACACAAAAACCATGTTAAACTGTGGCTCTCGGTAGCTACATATTTAACAGAAGCAAAAACTTTATCTGCTTTAGCTTTTTAAATATCTGTGTAGTCACAAACTTGCAACTGCTCTAATGAAAAGCACAAGAACCTTGGTTTAAAGCACCATAGTACATCAAACTCTGCCATCAGATATTACAGTGGGGGCTGTAAACTTTAAAAAAAGACAAGGATAGAACAAGGTTTTAAAAAAGTAATCCCATACCCAGCCTTCTTTTGCAATTTTAAGCCACTAATTGCTAACTAATTACTGTGAGGTGTCAGACAATGAGTAAGAAAGCTAACAATCTCTTCTTGTTGCCTGGGATTTGCAGGTTCAGTCAGTGCCTTTTCAGGTATGGTCAAAATCAGGTACAAATCTCTGAGGGAGGTACAGTTTAACTAAAGAAAATAAATACCAATGTCAAACTGCTTAAGTAGGCCTTTTGTTTTGAATACTGGCATTGGAGCCAAAATACTGCCTGTATGTCATTTCTAAATTCTACCTACTTGATTTCTTTGTTTTGTGGAGAAACAAGAAGCTGAAAAACAGGAAAGTTCACTTTGGGTACAAGGCTTATTTTCCACTTAAGCCTACAGCTCACAAATGAAGGGTTAAGTGAAACCAGGCTTTGTTTTTCTCTATCTCTAAAGTATATTAAACCACAATAAAATAGCTTATAATTTAAAGGAAAATTCCTTTAAAACCTCTGCATATAACTGCTTTCACTGAGGATGGAAATGTATGTAAAGATCACAGTACTCTCTGCCAATTGAGATATATTTTCACCTGCTCCAAGATCCTAAAGGGCCCCAACTTTTTCCCAGTTCCAAAACTTAATCAGTACTAATGTCAGCTAAACTAACTGGCAACTTTATATTTGATCAATACATCTCTCTCTGTACATAGTTAAAAAAATCCAAAAGCAAATGGAAATGTTTTGTTTCTCTGTCTAATCTTCTGGAAGGGCATATTCTTAGAGTTTCATATATTTCCATCAATATCACTAAATTCAAATAATCTTTAAGTAATAATGTACTTTATGGAGTCATTTTTGTCATGACTGTGCAAACTGAAAAATAAAGGTATTATTTTGTTACACCAAAACTGAAGGAAAAAAGCAGGAGGAAAATAGAGCACAATAGGAGCTAAAGGAGAGCAGGTGATAAAAAACAGATGAAAAAGTAAGAAGATACAGAAAAGGCTGGCACAAGGAAGAAGTTAGGAGGAATGAGGTAGAGAATTAGGCAAAGAAAATCGATCCCTTCAGCAGCAAGGCCGCACATCATTCATAGTCATTCACCATGAAACTCACTCAGGCATTATGAAAAGAGCTGAATGCCAAGTTGCCAAATCCCCTGTTATTTAATTAGGACATTTTTGTTTGTTTGAAGATCCAGCTTTTGTATTTTAATGATTATGTGATCATCCTAGATTTAATTTTTTAAAAGGGCACTTCTAGCCCTCACCATAGTGCAGATTTATAAGAGAACATGATGTTAGATTGCTCATAAACAAGAATACAGATGAAAAGAACAATAATTCTCCTCAACTTTCTTTTATTTCAGATTAATTTATGCTCCAGACTTTTGAATGTAAAGGCCAGTAATCAGGCAAACACTCTTTTAAAAACATGCATCTGCTGCTGCCATAAATAAACCCTAAAATTCTCATATTTTAGAATGTTTGCTTTGAACATTTGACACTGTCTTTCTCTAACACCCTTGGAAATTGCTAGCTGTTGTCCAAAGCTGTCAATAGCCCAAGAGAAACTCTGATTTGAATGAAACCTAAGATAACATAANCATTGAGCAGACAAAACATCTATTCTTGAACTCACAACCTTTAAGAGGTTTTTAAAATAAAAAAAAAAATAGCCCCTATAAGCGGGGAAAAAAGTTGCATCATGTTATTTTGATGGACTTTGCCCTTAAAAATAAGTCTTCTATTGAAACTGGAGCAGCCAAAAAAAATTGGCTTCTTAATTCAAATGGAAAGACTTTAAAATATGAACAAAAATATTCTGTCTCTCTGTTTTAATATTGCTCTATTTCTAGACCTACGCCTTCCTCTGCTGTACTTTTGTAGGCATGTGAGGTGGAAAGCAGGTGGTATTTTCTCTCTAGCTAGACCTGAGGCTTCTTCTCTCTTTGGCATTTCTGCTTATCTTTGTGCCCAGTTAGTGCCTCATCATCCTACACAGTTCATCGGGCTTCTTTTTTCTTAGACAGATTTAAATTCAGATTTCTGTTGTGCCTGAGCAGTAACAGAAGCCACCTCACAGAAGCCTCTGCTTTAGTTATTAAAGTTATTTAGTTATTAAAGCAATTAGATGGGCTAAAGGTCTAAGATGCAAACGAGGATCACTAGCTGCATCTTGATTATCAACTACTAATGCAACAAGGTAGAAATAATTCCCTTCTGAATTCCATCCCTAAATAGGAACATCATTTTAAAAAGCAGAATAAATGGGTAACAGAGCATGATATTGGTTATGAACCCATTTGACTAATTTTAAATGACTGGCTGCAAATATATAGTTTAAATTTCAGTGTACACGACTTGGTATTTTTATTATTGAACATTTTTATCACATTTTTGAGTCTGTAAAAAGAAGATTTTGTAAAGCTTTCTAACCATTTTACTCCAAGGTATTTTTACGTGACAGAAATAAAACAGAATGGTTTTCTCCAAAGTAATACTAAAATAATGTCATTAATTAGGTTAATTTAATTAGGCCGAAAAAATAACAGAAGCAAAAACTTTATCTGCTTTAGCTTTTTAAATATCTGTGTAGTCACAAACTTGCAACTGCTCTAATGAAAAGCACAAGAACCTTGGTTTAAAGCACCATAGTACATCAAACTCTGCCATCAGATATTACAGTGGGGGCTGTAAACTTTAAAAAAAGACAAGGACAGAACAAGGTTTTAAAAAAGTAATCCCATACCCAGCCTTCTTTTGCAATTTTAAGCCACTAATTGCTAACTAATTACTGTGAGGTGTCACACAATGAGTAGGAAAGCTAACAATCTCTTCTTGTTGCCTGGGATTTGCAGGTTCAGTCAGTGCCTTTTCAGGTATGGTCAAAATCAGGTACAAATCTCTGAGGGAGGTACAGTTTAACTAAAGAAAATAAATACCAATGTCAAACTGCTTAAGTAGGCCTTTTGTTTTGAATACTGGCATTGGAGCCAAAATACTGCCTGTATGTCATTTCTAAATTCTACCTACTTGATTTCTTTGTTTTGTGGAGAAACAAGAAGCTGAAAAACAGGAAAGTTCACTTTGGGTACAAGGCTTATTTTCCACTTAAGCCTACAGGTCACAAATGAAGGGTTAAGTGAAACCAGGCTTTGTTTTTCTCTATCTCTAAAGTATATTAAACCACAATAAAATAGCTTATAATTTAAAGGAAAATTCCTTTAAAACCTCTGCATATAACTGCTTTCACTGAGGATGGAAATGTATGTAAAGATCACAGTACTCTCTGCCAATTGAGATATATTTTCACCTGCTCCAAGATCCTAAAGGGCCCCAACTTTTTCCCAGTTCCAAAACTTGATCAGTACTAATGTCAGCTAAACTAACTGGCAACTTTATATTTGATCAATACATCTCTCTCTGTACATAGTTAAAAAAATCCAAAAGCGAATGGAAATGTTTTGTTTCTCTGTCTAATCTTCTGGAAGAGCATATTCTTAGAGTTTCATATATTTCCATCAATATCACTAAATTCAAATAATCTTTAAGTAAACATGTACTTTATGGAGTCATTTTTGTCATGACTGTGCAAACTGAAAAATAAAGGTATTATTTTGTTACACCAAAACTGAAGGAAAAAAGCAGGAGGAAAATAGAGCACAATAGGAGCTAAAGGATGAAAAGAGCTGAATGCCAAGTTGCCAAATCCCCTATTATTTAATTAGGACATTTTTGTTTGTTTGAAGATCCAGCTTTTGTATTTTAATGATTATGTGATCATCCTAGGTTTAATTTTTTAAAAGGGCACTTCTAGCCCTCACCATAGTGCAGATTTATAAGAGAACATGATGTTAGATTGCTCATAAACAAGAATACAGATGAAAAGAACAATAATTCTCCTCAACTTTCTTTTATTTCAGATTAATTTATGCTCCAGACTTTTGAATTTAAAGGCCAGTAATCAGGCAAACACTCTTTTAAAAACATGCATCTGCTGCTGCCATAAATAAACCCTAAAATTCTCATATTTTAGAATGTTTGCTTTGAACATTTGACACTGTCTTTCTCTAACACCCTTGGAAATTGCTAGCTGTTGTCCAAAGCTGCCAATAGCCCAAGAGAAACTCTGATTTGAATGAAACCTAAGATAACATAACCAGAATGGCACAGTTCCATGACATCATCTGAGAGCCAAGGACAGGCATGTTGCTACCCCTCACCAAAAAGATTTTGTATTTATCCAGAGGTTAAGCAGTAACGCCATCATTCCTCTCAACATCAACAGTTGGCTGTCATTTAGCAATGCAGGAATATTGTTCCAGCAACCAGAGCCAGCTGGGCAAAAGCTACATCTTATGTAAACAGTGCCAACAGTGATGGAGCTGCACCCAGGAGTCAGCCCCCTCCTTGCAGAGCACGTATTTATATCTCTTTGCAACTGAATACCAGCCACTTTCCTCAGCTTCAACCATCCAGCAATAAAGTGTTTATGTTCAGGCTCCAATTAATGAATCCACTACAGGGAACTAGTAACAAATGGAAAAAATATGCTCACATTAGTACTTCTATGGCAATGACTAATTAATTAAGCTTTTCCAGCGCTACTCTGCTGCCCAAAAGCCAGTGGTGAGATTCTGTCGTCATAGCTTTTTTGTGAGCACTGGGATTTGTTCTCCTCATTCTGAACTAAATTCATAATAATAATAGATTTTGGGATAACACACAAAAGCTTTAGTCTTTTGGTTTTAGTCTGAAAAATGGAAAATAACTTTTGGTAAATATTTAATACTCTTCTATAATGCTTTTGTTCATACAGATCCATACAGTAATTGTTGAAACATTTAAGTTCTATGTTTTTTTTCTGCCTAAATATAAACTAACAACACCTAGGAAACCAAGGCTGCTGAATTAACCTGCTTTTCTGACATATAATGAAAAAACCCTAATTATATTCCTCAAACATGTACACTGCTATTGCAGTAAACATTTCTGCAAACAAACCTTACCTGAACAAGCAAAAAAGGTTGTAAAGTTACTGCTCTAGATTTGTATGGCGCAAAAAGCTGTTGAGAGAAACTCAGAACCTGACCCAGGCACAGACTGAGCTGGAGGTAGCTTTGCCCTTCACTCAGCTGAGTGTAGGGTAAAACCTTTCAGTGCTAAATTGAAGCTTTACAAGAACACAGAAGCATTACATGAAGCCAGACAAAACTATGTAGCTGTTCTTTACATGCAGAATTTTTGAGGTTAGCAAAAAATCACATTCCAGTTATAACTTTGAGGTTGTAACTGCAGTGAGGTTCACTCACATGAGGTGAACATAAAAGGCTATAACAGATTTTAGCAAAAGCTGTCAGCTTTCAAATACAATCCTGAAAAAAAGAAGTCTGATCTCATAAGGTCATTCCATTCATAAACTGTTCTTATTCACCTAAAATCATGTTTCTCTTTGGAGAATTACCAAGGAAATGCGCTGTCTATAGACATATTCATCAGTTCAGTTATGATTTATAGACTGTGCATAATAAAAAGATTTTACTCAAAAGAAGACTTTCAAAAACATCAGTCAATATTTAGATTAAAAAAAACCAAAACAACTAAGGTAAAAAATTTAAGACTAATCTGGCCATGTTCAAAAGCATTCTTCCTCTTTCTCTCTCAGTACAGAGCAGAGCCAATCTGTCATAGCAATCATTTCTGGAAATTCTTCACTCTCTGAGGGGATGTAGACTTTTGCAGATTGTTATTATATCACAGGTTTCAGACAACCTGTATCTACAAACCAAACCTCAAGTGGTCCAAGTATTATTCCCAACACTATTTAAATATGTACTGAATACAAGAGCTGAGTAACTGCAAAGAATGGACATGTGAAACAACTTGATTTTTTTTGTCTTGTAACGCCAGTACCAGTGTGCCTCTACAAATCAACTAATGTTCTGGTATTCCTAGTGTATCAACCATAAACCAGCAAATTTTACTGAACATTTCCATCAGTTTCTTGACACTTACCCGTCCATATCTGTTAGCATAGGACCCTGTAAGCAAGGAATGGAAAATGATGATTGTCTCATCCAAATCCCAAATGAATACTCTCTGTAAAAAGAGAATCAAATCAATGTGTTCTTTTGTGAAGCTAATACTTGAAATTAAAGTTAAAATTTGAATCAATAGGCACACAAATGGGAAAATTATACTGAAATGGCTGCATATTAAAACCATAGCTCCCCTGCCATTTATTTTCAAAACAAACAAGTTGTTGTTTTTTTTTTTTCCTGGGTAGGGTAACACAATTTATTATCTTTTTACTACAATTGCTATTATATAAAATCCTTCTATTAGAATAGAATTCTAGTATCATCAAATATACGCAGAAAATGAAACTGTACAATGCAGTTTTTAAAGCTTGATGTGAGATAGAAACTGAAGTAAATAAGGAGAAGCATCTCAAAATTAAATCTTCCGGTTTAGACTAATGTATTTCTGCATGTCTTATAAAAGAAAAGTCTTACAAAAATTTATGTAAGTGCCCTTGAAAATTACCTCTAAAATCAAAACAAAGCAGATTGCTGCTAGGCACTTAATTTCCCTCAACTTATTTTAGTTGTAACGCATTTTATGCATCTGAAGAACAAAAACTATGAACTTGGATGCTGTATATATAAAACTTATGGCATCAGTAAAGAATTCTTATGCTTAAAGACAATGGAAAATACGTGCTTTAAATTTGTTCTCCGACCACACACAAAATGATAACTTAATGAAAAATAAAGTGTTCAAATACAAGTATTTTAAATCCTGGTGAGATTGTATTTCCCATGATGACAAATGGGGTAAGCTTCTGGAAAGGAAAAGTAATGCTGTGTGGACACTCATAGCTATGGTGTGTCATTGGAGATGTGTTCTCAACATAAACCATGGGCCACTGGGAGGAATGTGAACATAGCATGAGAGAACAAACCCCACTATTGTGCTAGAAGTGTCTCCTGACCAAATGAAAACCTTTTTTGCCTTGGGAAAAGCTTGCTCCTTTTTTTTTCTTTTTCCTTTTGTTTTGTTTTGGTTTGTTTGTTTCTTTGCTTTGTTTAATCAAAAGGAGAAAGAAACACCCAGTATTTTTCCAAGAAAGTAGGAGCTCTTCATGAAGAAGGTTCTTTAGAAGAAAAATCCTATTTTCCATGAAAACGCTGTTAGAAAAAAGGGAGCTTCAATGCCACTTTGTTTTTGATGTATAAACAACACTTCTTTGTGCAAAGTAATGATAAAAATAAAGCTCTATAACAGGCCAAAGACATTTAATATAAAGTACCTCCAGATCAGAGTCAGGTGGTGGTGAAGGATTATTGTTTCTTCTGCCACGTCCACGTGATTTCCCATCTGAGCTACGACGCAATCTATCTGAATCTGAATCTTTAATGGGGGTTGATGGACTGTGGATTGTACCGTATTCTGTTGTAGCAAAGAAAGAACACTTTTACCCTTCAGTTCAAAGTTCAAAATGTTCAACTTGCTTGTTTACATGAAACCCAGTCCTAACTAAAATAATTATATATAAAACGGTAAGTGGTAATATTGATTCATAAATTAGTTCAATCTAGCTCAAGTTATGTGTAAAAACAGACTGATAAACTATCTCAGTAAACACCTATGAAAGACTCAGTAAAAAAAAAAACTTAATTGCTTCATTCCTTCAATTATTACAAGATGAAACTCTAAACAAACAATTCTAAGGGATACCAGTTTTTCATAAAACAACAGTAATTTAACTCAAGCTTTTCAAACTTAAGTACATTAAATGCTTTAAAATAACTGTCATGGTGACAGGTAAGAAAAAATCCAAGCAGGTGTGAAAAAACCCCAGAGATATAGAAATGAAAAAATTTTCCAAATTGCCTGGTTGGAGACAATTTTAGATTTCTACATTTGAGCCAGAAGAATTGGATTATTCTTCAATATAGCATAAATCATTATTTTCCTATGGTTATTTAAATTAGTAAGTGTTAAATATTTATCAACTATGAAGATGATATTTCTAGTATTTTTCAAAGGCTTACACAATACTGAACATTTCCAATGAGTACCTTCAAGACAGGCTATAAATCTTTAATATTGTATGCTAATTATTATGCTTCAGCAACATTTACTTATAAGAATATTTACTGTTATTGAACAGGTGAAAAAAGAATGATGATTCATGTGGCTAAGATCAACAGAGTTTTTCTGACAACATGCTAGTCTGAAGATATTTTGCTACTCTTAAAATCCATAGACTCTATCATATTGAATGCTTGCACATTAACAAAGCAGACACTGAGCATCAATTATCATTCCCATTAATTTAATTTGCAGTACCAGGGTCCTTAGAAATGCAACAACACATTTTTGCATCTCTTTTGAAAACCTCCTTTCATAGTCTGAATTTCACAAATACTTTTATTTTGATGGTCACCATGATTTCTTTTGTTTTTCCTAAAAAAATTACTTTAGTGAAGGCAGCTGCAATTTTCATGTTTCTTAATTTTACTGTTCAGTTAATATTAGCTACTCTTTAGAGTTCAGTAGATACAAAATTTTTCATTTGGATCTGCCTAGACCATGGCATTCCAGCTTGAACAGACAGGTATACTTCTCACACAAGGGATTCTCTCTCCTAGGAAAACATCCTGTTGAGGTCAAAGGTTAGATTAAGGAGGAGACTCTGGACATCTGTGTAACACCACATATGCACAATTACTCAAAATAATAACAGTTGCTTGTGCTGAACAAAAGGAAAAGGTCTTGAAATTCTCATGCTCAGCCTTCAAATCTACACTTCTTGAGAATTAGCAATCTTACATATTTCACATTAGATATTTACCTAAATATTTCAGATTGCATCAAACAAATCAGAACAAGTTAAGATGCATCTCAAGGTTAAGCACAGAATCTTCTGAAGACATCTGACCTATACTAAAAGAGTGATTCTATATGTGTCAAACAGCAAAAATTATCCAGCCACATCTATCTACACATCCCAAGAACATATATCTTTTCCTATGACAATGCACACTATAGAATATTTATGTAAAGTATTTAAACTTTGAATGCTGACTGCTCTATCACCTACTGTATTTAACCATAAATAAGAAATTGTAACAAATAGTACCAATTTTCCCAGTTAAACATTATTTTGATTATTAAAATCTTTAATTAAAAAAAGAGAAAGAAAATGATGCACAAAAGCCTTGAAATAAATTATAACCCCATAAAATAAACAAACCAAAATTTCTTCAACAGAAATTCTACATATTCTAAATATGTACTCTAAATATGTACTCTAAAATTAAGATACAATGAAAAATTGCATTTTCTATTGAATTTAATTTAAATTATTTACTATTAATTACTAATTTAAATTATGTCTGCTTTTGGTCTCTGACACTGTTTTTAGGAATGTAGCTTTAGTTCCTAGTTTTAGAAATTTTTCTCACAGACATGCTATGCCTAAAGGTTTCAACTATGAAACTCTCAGGAATAATACTAGAAAAAAAATGGGAAACAGGTAAGATGGAAAGAGTATAAATAAAACTCCATGACAAATAAACCAAGCAAACCTAAATGAGTGAGGACACAGAGCAGATCATGGTGGGGGCAAGGAAGAAAGTCTGTCTGTAACAGGCATCCAGCTCTCCATCTTTGCAAACACCTTTCAATTCTTAATACATCATTCAAAATTTCAAACACAGGGCTGCAAGTTTGGGTGGAGGCTCATTTCCATTTCCTTTCACAGGTAATCTCTCTGGATGCACCAGACTCTCACCTGACAGAAGACTCCCAACCCTGTCTCAGGACCCCTTCTTGGGACTCCTGTACTTCCATTATTCCCAAGAAAGATTTGTCTGTCCTGCTTTTATGGATCTCTCCAGGAAATCTCTGCTGCTCGGACAGCTGTGTCATCAGAACGTACAACTTCAGCATTCATTACAGCATGAGAAGTTTAATCTGTGCAAGTGGGGGAAAAATGATTCCCTTCACTGTATCTTCATGCATTTGAAGACTGTTCATAGATCCCCTTTGTTGTTAGATTAATCCTTCCCTGTCAATCTTCTTTGCTAGGCTCTGACTCTCATTCTCTAGTCTCACCAAACTGGACAAAATAATGCAAAGCATCAAGCAAAGCTTGATTTCCTGAATGTTCTGCGGGCTACCCTCCCCTGGACACCATTTGTCTGGAAAAAATTTGCATTTTCTACAGTATTTCCATAACTATTAGATTCAGCATTCCTAGATCATTCTCTGAGGAAGAAGTGACATTGAACTGGCTGTTTCTCAAAGACCTGGCCAAAGCTTGCACCTGACTGAACAAGTGGCATTGCTAATACCTGCACCTTCTGCACTCAGGAGATCAGTGTGTGTTACAAACAGTGTGACAATGGCAGTAACCAGTGCAGGGAAACAGGACATTGTGTGCAAGAAATTATTGCATGTATGTGAGGGGAAGCCTCTGTATGCATGGCTGTGTTACCAGCTCGCTGTCCAATGGTCACTCTCAGGGCCTCATAAGGAAACCCAGTTACAGAATACAGTGTCCAGCTGAGCCCTGAGCCTCGACAAGCCCAAGCCCTGACAAATTCTGGAGAAAGAAAAACAACAGTGGCTGAGGGTACTCTGTGTGCCACTAATATTTGAAGTACTGAGAGCGGTCTGCAGGGAAAGGTAGAGCCTGCAAGAAGCTGCCAACATTCCCCATCCCACATTTGTGCAGTTCATCATTCCTGCCTAAATGTATACCTCACACCTGCTCCTATTCAGATCACATCTCCATTTTTTGAGTTCTCATCCTGTCTCCAAAGGACTCGCAGCCCCTCTCAGCATGGTGTCATCTACATATTTAATAGGCAAACACATTCTGTTCCGTCACCTAAATGATTAATGAAAATGTGGTCTGGTGCTAGGCCCAAGGCAGACCCTGAGGAATGCTGCTGTAGCCATCCTTCTATTTTAACAGCGAGCTCTCGCTGACTTCTCTCTGGACATGATTTCCTAAACAGCTTTTTGTCCTTCTGCTGTAATTCCTGCCAAACTGCTTTAGCCTAGCTTGCTTTTAAAATTGTAAAGTGGAAAGATTTAACAGACAGGGCATCAAAAGACTTGCTGAAGTCAATTTACATAGCCACAAACCATGTTATCACTATATCTATTACTCTATAATCGTTGGCAAGAGAAGGTTAATTTGTTCAACTTCAGTTGACTTCATGGTACCAGACATAAATACTAGCCAAGTGAAATGATGATTTTTCTAAAGCACTGAATTCAATTTTATCCTGTCCTTGAGCATCACAAACCTAAGTAAGTGCAGGAGAAGACCCTGCCCTTCACATAATCATGAGCAGAGAAGTGGGTGAGGATCAGATCCATTGCCTGTCCAACACAAAAGCAAGATCACCAAAGGGAGCTGGTAGAAGAGCAGAGCAGAGCAGCCTGGTTAAATTCAAGGAGTTCAGATAAGGTATGAGATTTGTACACATTTTGTCAAGAAAACCCCAGTCCAGGGTCCCAAAATGTTACATGGGTTCAAGAAGGACCTAAAGACATGCCTGGAAGTGAAGGATTCAGGGGTGCTACAGCTGCACCACATCAGCAAGGTGGATCTGTGGGATCAGGCAAGTGGTGGCAACTACATCAGACACCACTGGCTGCTTCTGGGAGGTTATTTCAGTGCAAGGATCTTGTCTCCTGGGCATCCTCAGTAGAGGCTGGAGGAATTAGGAGCTCTTCTGGAGGACACCTTCCACGTCAGCTATGATTGGAAGGACTCCACATGGATGCCCAATGACTGCTCTGCTGAGCCAAAGCTTCACATCAAAAAAGATCCTACTCAAAGTTAAAATGCTAACGCAGGCACACCCTAAACACACAAACAACAGCAGGTCTGGAAATCCCCTGAGACAAAAAACATTTGGGATCTGGAAAAGTGCTTAGGGCAAATCTGACCCAAGCCTAGTCTGTCTTTGATGCTCCCGAGGTGCCTGCTGATGTGGCAGGCAGGGTACAGCCCGATGGATCCATCACTCTGGACTGCCACAGCCATTTCTCTGTGCTGCAATGCCTTCACAAAATTGGATGAACAACAGTTATATTGTATATATAACAAGTATATAGTAGCAACAGTTATTCTTCTGCATCCATGGACATGCACATCATTTTAGATCTCCCTGCTATTGCAACCCTCTGTACTTTGCTCCAGGCAGACACTAAGTATCACAGCTTATTTCTGCGTCACCCACTTCTGAACACTGGATAAGTGTAAAAGACCCACTCTTGACAAGAAGTCAGAAAAAACCCCAACATTTTAAGCCCAGATTCTATAAATTTCTTATTTTCCATGTGTGACTGGTACTCCCTTGCTTCTGACCTGGTAGCAACCCCTGTGGTATACAGTGATATCCAGCCTGACAAAAACATAACTG